AAGAAAGTTGTTTTGATGTGTGCACAGTCTAGCTGGGAACCTACATTCCCCTTAACAACTATTAAAATGATCACACGTCATTTCCCTTCTATGTTTGGTCATATTCTACATAGACTTGGCCTCACCAGCTTTCTATTATACATTCACTTTTATGTCATATATTTCTCTTTCCCTGTCTGTGCAAATCATACAAACCTCTTGCAAATACAGCAAAGGCAACAACAGCCTGAGTTTTTTTATCAGCAAAACCTTACGTATATTCCAACACCAGATATTTATGTTTTAGCCAGTACAATAATGTGCTAACAAATGAAAGGTTAGGAAAGGCTGTTGATTGTAGATTTCCCAAATAAAAAAGTGAAGATGTAGAAAAGCAAACAATTTGAGGGACAAAATCCATTTATATAACCTAAATATCATTGGAGCAGGAAAATGCATGAATTTTGTAACGAATGCTTCCAGCAATTATATTTGAAATTGGTTGTTGTAATAAAGTTGTGAGACTGAATCAAGATATAGTGTTCACAGTTCATGCACAAAATGCAGTTCTGCAATGAAGTTATTGAAAAACATCTAATTATACTAAAGGCTCTCTGTAAATTCTGTCTTAAAAAGCCAACCCACATTTTGCAGAAAGAAAGAAACTATACATATTTCAAGATTTATGTCTGTTTCAGGAGGATTTTTTTCATCGCGACTTCTGCAGTTCAGTTCTGTGTCACCCCCCCCACTGCATTTACAAATACTGAAAGTGAACATTCTTAGCAACAAAACCTTTCCCCAAAACCAAAGTGCTTAAAGATCCTACCTTCATCAGTGTCTTCTAGCAGTCCCATATGCTCAAGAGCTTTCACAAATGCCACAATTATCACCAGAACAACAATCATTTCAAGTCCCTCCAAGTTCATCTTGAAAAAAAAATTATTTGTGTGACAGCATCTTTTCGTAGGAGAGCATCCTGACTAAGGAGTTAGACCTTTTTAATTAAGCTCTCCCAGACCATGATATGCTACTCAACCAGATACAATACAATGCAAAAGAAGTTCAGCATATTGCCACCATAAAACATTACTATTGACAGCAAGATGAAGAGAGGAACGCAAGGAAGTCATCTCTTACCATGTCTGCATCACTTGCCTGCACGGATACAGATGTTTCTCAGTCTCTAAGGCAACAGAATATACAGGAGCTACTTTGTTTAGCGTTCCCTACAGTAGCTGTTTCAGCCAAAGTTTACAAAATATTGGCTTAGCTGAATCTGATGGCATTTCCCAACATTAAATTGAAAACAAAGCTTCACTTCTGCATTCTTTGATTTCAGTCTAAACTAAGTGCCTTTAAAGCAACTGTATAAAGTTATTCATTTGTGTGTGTGTGATGCAAACACACACATGCATGCATGCAGATGTACACACACACTGCATTTCTGCTACTTTACAACGTAAGTGGCTGCAGGATTAAGTAAGAGATCGTGGAAGGGGATGCTTAATTTCCCCTTTGCTGTTCTGTTTTGGAAGATACCTGGAAAACATTAACAGTGGAAATACCTGGAAAACATTAACAGTATAATATTTGAGTTGTGCAAGTGACACAAGTGCTGCATAATGGAGACTGGGTGGGCACATAGTAAGATAAAAGCTTTTGGAACTACCTCTTATGTTGTACCCATTTCATAATGGGCAAGGGAGGAGTAGCTTTGGTGGCTTGCCCCATTTCAGGGGCTTGGTCTGGCTGATTGCTGACTTGGGAGGATCTGTTTGTTTTATTTGGAACAAAATGCCACAGTTGAGACATAAAACATTTTCAAGGGCACCTTTCAATTACAAATGAAACAAATGTTCACCTTCACTATGGCATTTGACAAATTGTTCACATATGATACAGTCTACGACAAGCCTCCCACACCATGAAAAGTTTTGATGTGGAAAAGGGGATGAATAAAGTAAACTGAAGAAAGGAAAGGAAATGGAGCAAAACAAACAAGAAGCTAGTTAGAATCTTAAAATTGTAGAGTTGGAAGGCACCCTAAGGGTCATCTAGTCCAACCCCCTGCAATTCAGGAATCTCAACTAGATCACACATGACAGATGGCCATCCAACCTCTGCTTAAAATTTTGCTTCTAACATTTGATTTTGTGAGACTTCATTTCCCCCCATATCTGTGTAGCTCTTTATTAAAATAATTTATTTTTTATCCCAGTTTTTAATTCCTCTCCATTTAGTTTCATCTGTGGATGTCATAAGTTTACTGCATTCTGCCAACCCAGTTATACTGAACATACTGAGCAGCAACAAGCATGGCACAGATCCTTTCAGGACACCTAGATACCTCCACTAAACTGCCCGTCACCTGTTTTGGTTTCTCCTGTGATGGGATTACATGAATCTAGGTTTTTGTTTCTTACATGGGGTGAGAAACTTTTTTCAGCCTGAGGGCAACCTTCTGAAGGCTCCAGGGGTGCATGGGGGTGGAGTCAAAAGTGGGTGGAGCAATTAATGCAAATTTTTACGTGTACTTTAATTTTTATGAACCACCTTGTGTCCCAGTTCTGTGAAGAAGCCAGGATATAAATAAATAAATTTAACAATAATAAATAAACTCCTTGCTGCCAAGGAGTGTGGTGAAGTCTCCTTCTTTGGAGGTCTTTAAGCAGAGGCTTGACAACCATATGTCAGGAGTGCTCTGATGGTGTTTCCTGCTTGGCAGGGGGTTGGACTCGATGGCCCTTGTGGTCTCTTCCAACTCTATGATTCTATGATTCTATGACTCTATGAAATAAATGCTACCTTTCTACAAGCACACACTCACACCACTCTCCATCCTTCATCCAGGAAAGCAAGAGGCATTATCAGGACTTCCGGGGAGGTGCCTCCGGTAATGGCGGAGTTCCTCTGACCGGGAGGAATCTGCTCCGTTGAAATCTGGGTCTGGCCGCCACGGCGAAAGCGGAGACCCGCTAAAATCACAGGCGGGAGAAGCCTGTGAGCGTGGGATTCGGCGGGCACCTTTTGCGCCTCCCCCACTCGCGGGGAACCCCGGTTTTTGGGGCTCCGGAGCCACGTGGGGTGAGCGGCGCAGTGCATCGAATCGTCTGCTTCTTCCACAGAGCGAAGCCGCATAGCTGTTGCCGGAGAGCACTGACCTTTTCCTGTGGACAATTTGACTTTAAAGTAATTACCCGTGAGTAGAGCTGAAGCGGAAGAATTGGATTTCTAAATGTTTAATTTGGTATCGTAACGGGGAGGTTCAAAACAGGAAGTCCACCTTCCCCTTTTGTAAATAGACTGAGGCAATGAAGTTGCAAGCTGGAGTCTTGGAAAGTCTTTTGTAAAAGATTAAATTTCCATCGGTAAAGAACATTAAACCCCCTCTTGGAGGCAGGAGAAGAGAGGGGGAAGTTGTGGATTGAGAATGCCTGCGGGAGAGAGCGAAGAGATTTAAAACACCGCCGCTCTGACCCTGGAAACGGGCTGCTAGTAGGACTGACGTCATTTGGAATGTTCATTGAGAGCGTTTAGAACGTTCATTGACAGCTAGTTAAACAAGAGAAATACATTGTTTCTACTGTCTCCGGCTGCTTTAAAAAGGAGTAAAAGTAACTGAAAATTGAAACTAATTTGAAACTAATTTTGGATTGTTTAAAAGAGGATACTATTGACTATTACAAATAGAAACTGTTTCCCCCTAGTGGAAGCCTTTGAAACCGGTTCCGTTACAAGAGTTGGGCTAGGGAAATTTCCAGGTGCAAGTTAAAAACCGTGAGACTCTGGGACTGACCTTGAATCTTTTAAGTGTTATGGTAAATGGAAGAGGAAAAACAGACCAGTCAACTGCTGACAAAACATTAAGGTCTGGGAGGACTTGGCAACAATCCAGGAGAGGTCCATCATCAGGCTCCCTGCTCTTTCTGTTGCAGCCTTTGTACCAGTATATTTAAAACCAAGAGGAATGTCGACAGAAGAGGCTTTAGTGGCTGCATTATATAAGATAAATGACTCATTGGATCAGCTTAACAGGAAAATGAACATGATAAATGCGAAAGTGGATGTTTCAACTACTAAAATTAACTTAAATACAGAAAGTATAAATAATACCAATACAGAAACCACCCAGAAATTGATACAGGAACCTACTTTGATACGGCAAACTGCGGAGGAAGCCAGGGAAAAAGCTGTTGTTGTTGAATGTAAAGTAACACAACTGGAGAGAAAGAGAAAGAGAGCCCCAGCCCTACAGAGGCAATTTGATGAACATAAGTTGACGCTTGCTATGACTGAACTTAAAGAAAAACAGACGAATTTGAGGATTAGAGTTCACCTTTGGTGGACATGCCCAAGGATTAAGACACTTTGGGAGATGATTTATAACGAAATGAAAAAGGTATTTAAATATACCCTCTTGAAGAAACCAGAGGCCTTTCTCCTGGGCATGGTCGGCCAATTGGTGTTAAAGAAGGATAGAACTTTTTTAACATATGCAACAATAGCAGCAAGAATACTCATTGTGAAGTACTGGAAGACACAAGATTTATCTATTCAGGAAGAATGGCAGATGAAGTTGATGGACTATATGGAATTGGCGGAAACGACTGGCAGAAATCCGAGACCAGGGAGAAGAGTTGGTGGAAGAAGACTGGAAAAAGTTTAAGACTATTTATAGAAATACTGTAAAAATAATGAATGTTAGAAAAATGTTGGAATGAAGTTATATGGCTTTAGTAGAAATGCTATAAGGAATTAAGTATAAATAGATTAATAGAGTATTAAAGGGAAAAATAAGGTTAGAATATGTTAAGATAATTATAGGATAGAAAACAGAGGACGATGGAAAGGAATTGCTGAAACAATTAACAGAAGTGGAATACAAAAAGGGAGGTGTGAGGAGGTCATGGAAATAAGGGAATGAAAGTTAAGATATTGAAATTGTTTTCTGTTTTAAATGGTTTGTGTCTTGTTTTGTTAGTCTTATGTTTTTTTTGTTTTTCTGTTTTGTTGTGTTTAAACGGTTGGAAAATTAATAAATATTATTTTTAAAAAAAGCAAGAGGCATTATCTGTGCTAAAGGATGTATTCCAGTGAGGCAAGCACACACAAGGAGGGTTATTAGCAGGGCCAGCAGGTGGTGTGGCAGGGGTGTGACCAGACAGACAAGTTTGGAGGGCCACATTTGGCCCCCAGGCATGAGGTCCCCTATATGTAATATAAACTGCAAATGTTGGCTTGTCATACATTTGCTCTTAAAAGCTTTTTATAAATGAATGAATGAATGCCTGAACCAGCTCTTAGTGGCTGCTCCATGTGCGTCAACATTCACTGTACCATCACGTCCCAATTCATGGCAAGCCATTGAAAGAGATGGGCTATGGAAAAATCGATAGACGGAAAAACAAAGCAAAAAAACCCTTTCATCTGCATTAGCGAAGTATTGTATTGTCCTCCTGTGATGATTGGAATTGGAATCATTATGTTGAGGCTTTAATTGAAAACCAACAGACTCTCAGTTTGCAGCTGTCACGGATGTTTAATGTCAATAACAAGGATGCCACCATTACCATTATCACAGGCCAAGGGCTTTCAAGGGAGCCTGAGAGTTTAGGGAAGATCTTCTTGTGGATGTAAATAAGGGATGAATTATGATAAGGGATGCTCAAGGTTCCCGCCACTGAAGGCAATCCATATTTTGCCATTGACAGAAGGGAGTGCCATAACCAAGGCCAAGGCCCCTCAGTGGCTGCTCTTCATCTGATTTAGCTTGCGAGGTATGCATGCCGGGAGGGAGACATCAGCTCTTTGGCTATTCAGTTTTTAATAGTGTTCATACAGTTACCCTGATATACTAAATCATGAGTTATATTTTGAAAGCACTGCTGTGCTCATCAAAGAAGCTCCTATCATCTTTCTGCATCAGGTAACCTTCCCTATTAATGTTCACACTCATCATTTAAGCACTAAGTTCCAGCTGAGCCCCCAAGAGCCTCTCTAAGAGTGATATGTAATTATACCTTTCAATAGGGAAGGACCATATATCAGTGGCAGAGCACAAGATTTGCATGCAGAGAACATTATTCAGGGAAGCACCAATGGGAAGATGCTTCAGGTCTTTGTATAAGACACATCTCTTCCCAGGGCATTCTCCGACCACTCACTCTGGTGGTATTTTTCCTTTATATATGATATGATTTTTAATGTGTTTCTTTATGTTGTGAATCAGTTCAGTGGAATAGAATTATTTCCACATAAAGACATAAATAGACTAAAACCCCTTGCATCTCCAGTTAAAAGACCTTATGCAGGAAGGCTGGGGGGCGGGGACTGAGGTTCCCTGGAAAGGTATTCTGTCTGTTTAGACAGAAGAGGGCTAGATGGAATCAGTCTGAGACTCAGTGTATGGCAACTACATATATTGTGTCTGCATGGGATTCTATACCATACTTTGAAAAGTGACTAGCATAACTGCATAGCCAGTTTGCCATGTTGCTTTACAGGTAAGGGTGGCCAAAACCCAGAAGGGGCCAGAGCTTGGTGGGAGAGCAAAAGGATCTAGGCTGAATCTCTGGTATCTCCAGGTAGGGCTATTGCCAAAGGGCTGCTGCCGGTCAGTATAGATGGAGGGATCTGCCTTTCTCAGTTATCTTAGTTTCTCATTTTACCAATCTTAAATCCCATTATCCCCATTTCTGTAGCAATATGTGGCGTGTGTGTGTTTTTAAATACTCAAGAAAATTCAACATTTTAGTGTGACTTTCTCCTTATCAACACATTTTTGTGTGCTGTTTTGGCTAACATACATACTTTTGCAAGGAATCTCCCCTAATTCATGCATTAGGGGAGAACTGAACTGCAAAACTTAGCTATGTATGAATTCTGAAGGCTAGCTGTGTTTTGGTTTGTGTATTGTTTCGGGAAGTGTAAATCTGGTAGGTTCCCTTTTAAATACAAACTGAACTGAATTTCTTCCCCATCCCTATCGGTCAGTGCTGACAGTATTGTGCTAGATGGATTAATGACCCAGCTTAGTACGAGGCAGCCTCCTATGTTCCTAATTTTATGAATTTGGAAATTTCAGGAGAATTGTCAGAAGCCTATCCAATTCTCCTCAAGCCAGAGTGTTCCACAACACTTGGAAGCCTCCTTAGACTTTTGCAGGAGAACTCTAAACATAGCATGCACAGAAACAGAAAAGCTTCTTCAAAGACCTCAGTCTGCTTGGTCTAGAATAGGTCCTGGGGTGTACCCACATTATACTCTTGCATTGCTTTGTCTCTTAGATCACATTCACACCATGCATTTAACAGTCATTGCTTCCTGCAAAGAATCTCAGGAATTGCTTGTAACAGAGCTACAATCCCAGCACCCTTAACAAACTACAGTTCCCAATACTGTGAAACGCCACAGCTGTTAAAGTGATACAAAGTGTTTTAAATGTACAGCGTGGATGTGATCTTAGTGTACCATATTTGTTCCAATTTGTTTCTGTGCCATTTATTTATTTATTTGGGGGACGGGGCACAAGCAGAAACATAAGCAAAAGAATAAACAGGAATGTGTATTCTTTTGGTGATGCATACTCTTAAAGGAAGCGCTCCAGCCTGCTTCTTTGCATGTTCACCGGAAGACTTGAGGAGTTCTGACCTTCCAAATTATATCCTATTTCTTCCTTGAGGGTTCCACTCACCCCCTACCTACACGACTTCTCCCAAAAGATGTGCTCCCTATCTTATTACAAAATCTGCATTTCATTCCGCATTAACTGCATTTTGTCTTCTCCTCATTTGTGCATATTAAAAAGCAAGCAAATAAATAGAACATGACATTGTTGAAGTTACTTAGGAAAAAATGTGCCAATTTCAGAGTTTCAACATTTCCTCTAATGCCATTCATATTTACTGAGATGCTAATAAGTATTACATTCAAGGGCAATTTCTCTGGTGCACAAAATCGACACCCAATGATTATCTCCTGCTTATGCTTTACAGTGGCACATTCTGATGCACTGAGAATGTAATGCAAATGCAAATTAAGCCTTAGAAAACATGAATTGCTGCCTTTCCCAATTGTTATGCAGTGGCAAACGAAGGTTCAGAAGAATAATGGCTAAGAGTCCAGGACCATTATTAGTTTTCTATGCTTTATAATAAATAGGAGGAAGCAGCATTACATTTCACTGTAGATTTCAAATCCCCATTTATTTATTATTACACATCAATGGAGATCAGATCAGCAGCGACTGATGTTCTTTTTCAAAGTTTTCTAACTCAAGAACAAAGGAGTAAATAAACAGGCTGTGTACAAATATGGGATGTAACTGTGCAGCAGCACCTGTCACATTAAAGGGAGCTTATTTTTATCTTCACTTCTGTTTATGTAACTCAAGCAGTTTATTATTACGAGGAAAAATACCAGTACTTTCATATTATGGAACTTGAGAAACACTGGGTTAAATCTTCAAATTACATTTTGAAAGCATTTGCTCATATTCTGTATCTAGGAATCTAAAATGCCTCTGGGGTTTTATTTATTGTTCATGACGGACCACTGAATTCCATTCAAATCAGTGGGTTTTTTGTAGTTGCCTTTGGAAAGCTGTGGACTGCAGTCTTAAATACTTTCTGAAGCAAACTAAAATATTCTGATTTTTGTTTTAATTTTTAAGTTTTTGTTTCCACCCTTACCTTTCCACCTTTAATTTTTAAAGAAGGGCCTCTGGTTGAGTCTCTAAAACGTTTGGTATCACATAATCGCAATAGGTAACCTGTGAGACTGGTCAATAAATCTATATCGTGTTTTTTTAAAACACTAAAAGCAGACAATGGGGGCGGGCTTGGGGGCACAAAAACAATTAACAACACAGTGGGATGCCTATGGCAGTAGTCAGTTAAAAAATTCAAAATGGATTTTAAATTGTTGGAGGGCAGCAAAATAATTTTAAACATTTTTAAAATAGAAAAATGGGAAGGGGGATTTGAGAAACAAATTTATATTTTGTAGGGTGCAGTGCCATGAGAAGAATTTCCCCAGATGATCTAAGTCACTGGTCCTAAGACCCACTAGTGGATTGCTGCCTGACCCAAGGTTACAACAGGAGCGCTACCACCATTGGTTCCTAAATGCATGCTTGGGTTAAAAGTGGGACCTGGATCTGAAAAGGTAGAATTTACCCAATTTAAGTGATCTTACAGGTCTACACAATGGCAAGTGGTCTTTCAGCTGCAGCCCAATAAATTCTGGGATGCCTCATCTCTGCATTAAGTATATATCACTGCAATCCTATATATGTCTACTTAGAAGGTAGTTACATTGACTTCAGCATGACTTTACTCTCAGATAAGTGTGTATAGGATTGCATTTACTTCTATTTCAAAGGTTGGAACTTTTTGTTTTTAAAGCGTGTCAACAATTCTCTAGTAGCTAGCAGCAAGTCTTATGATCCTTCAGAGTTATCAGAAATTCGGGAGGTTTGTTTATAACAGAAAGCTCAGCCATGGTAGAAAGCTGGTATTAACTTCATTTCTGTTCTCATCTAACGATGCAGTGTGGAGCTCTCTAGCTTGAAAGAGGCACCTCTCAAAAGAAAATGTGACCAAGTATATTGAGAGTCATGCTCCTTTTAACCAAGCTCAAAAAAAGACATAGTGCTGAACAAATAAATGAAGATGCAGCAGGGCTCCTGACAAGCCAAAGATGACAGGAGGTTAATAGTCTGTCTGGTGGGCCTAAAAGCTCATTTTTCTAGTAGCAGTCTAGAAAAGGCATACCTTTTCAAGGTTATGAAGTGGGAATTTTCTTTGGGGGGGGTGTATGGAGGGGTGTTGCTTCAGAAAACTAAAGCAAGCAGCAAATCCAAGCCCCAGATCCCATATGTATGCCCCTCTCTGTCAAACCAGGTGACAATCCAAGCTCTTAACCTGCTGAACTAAACCACCAACACTGCACAGACAACTCGAACTATTAAAGGACAGAAGTCAGCTGAGCTGCTGTCTGACTTGGTACCTGCAGTCACAACATAATCAAGCCTGGAAGGTTGAGAGAAATGATTGACAAAAAAGAAATTAAAAAGTTGTGCATATTTATAAGATCAGTGAATAGGAAGATGTGATAGCCATCTACCCACTTCTGAAGTGGGGATGATTGAGATAGTAAAGGAAACATGGAGTGTAGCTTATTAAACCACAGCCAAAAGAGCCACCTGGGCCACTCCTTTGGCTTGCCAAAAGCAAGCTCCTTCAAAGTCATTGCCTGTCACTTGAGGCAAGCTTCTTCAACATTTGCATAAGGCTGTGCATGCTGAGCCAATCTCTATCCAGCAATTTAGGAACAAGTATCCAAAAGCCTTGAAGTTGCTCAAAAACAATACATGGCTTGTATAAGCTATTATCTAATGAACCAAAGTTAGTTCACAACTGCAGGAAATTTTGCAGGTTTTCAATATACAGTATATTGATGCTTCTATGATTCCTGAGACTTAAAAGCTAAATGTGGTGCATCCTTGCCAAATGAAATCCATTTTAAATGTTTTCAAAAGAAACTGAACTTTTTTTTTAAAAAAAGCACCCTGTTCTTGACTGAGATCAACCTGTTAGAAACCTTGCTTTTTCCTCAATGATAAAAGTAGGCAGTACACATTTTGACAGAACTTTCATAGTATTATTCTGTATTAATACTTAGTATTAATCTTAGCACAGTAGTTCCTAACTGATGGTTGGGGAACACTGCCATGTGAAAGACAAGGAAATGGTGACCAATCCTTCAGTAAGGATAATGGATGCAAATACTGTGAGGAATAAAGCAAAGAACCTAGAAATATACCTCTTATGCTGAGATCAGATGAACGCAAGATCCAGACACTGGTTTCCCCCTTCTCCAAATAGGCGCAGGGGACTTGCTGGGACATTTTGTTCCATAGAGGCAAAGGAAGACATCTTTGTTTGAGACTGCTGGGACACCACAAAAAGGACGTTTTGACCTGGCATTTTGAGCTACATGCATATTAGCTCCCTCCATGCCCCCCACCATTCTAGCATGACTGGAATGGAAAGGAACCAGGATCGCTCTCAGAAATGGTGGCAAGGTAGAGGGTCCTTGGCACTCCCTGCAGAACCAGCACCCTTGTTACAAGTTCCCCTTGCCCTATCAGAAGACTTCTCTCTCTTTTTTAAAAAAGAAAAAATGGCCAGATGCCAGATGAACAATTCAGCAGCATAAAGTCCCCTCTCTCAAGAAGCAACCAGTTGGTATCCTAGCAGCTTGACTGGCATGCATAAATGTACATTTCTTCTCAACATCATCTGTCTCACACAAGCAGCACTGTAACTGAAATGTAGATGAGATGAGTGAGATCACAACCCAATTTCCCAATGCCACTGATAAATATCTGCTGTTATGTGAGGTTTTTAGCCATTATGTTGGCACAGAAGCGATATGTACACAAAAACAACTTGTCACTCCACACTAAATATTTTTTCCCCTTCCCATGTCACTGATAATTCCATCCAATTTTCAGGATGAAAAGATGAATGCATCAGCCACAGTTCTGAAATGAATTCATAACCCTGTATTAAGATAAACAGAACTGGCATTATTTAAAGCTCAAAATGCTTCCTTGACAGCTGTATTAGATATCGGAGAATTTTATCTAGTGCTAGAATGACCCTTCGTACTGTTGCTTTCTACCAAAATGGAATAAAAATTGCTATTTGCAGTCTTAGTACAGGATTTTTTAAAAACGGCATTTTATTGAACAACAAATGCAGATTGTTGTGAAGTGAGATGGAATATTTCACACACACCTTAAGACTCTCCTTCTGACTGGCCCAGCCAGCTCTACAAGCATTCAGTAGGAGGGGAGAGGGTTGCTTGTCACCAATCTTCCCTCCCCTAATTCCAGGCTTCCCTTGGCTCTGAAACTACCTTCCCAGAATCCTTCCTTCAAAGCATCTCTCATCTCTTATAGGTGGCTCTTCAAACTGCACCCATTTCTTAGTCCCCTAACTTCATTTCCTGCAAATTAAACTCTTGTTCACAAACAGACCATGGTCTTGACTCCTAACTGGATGAATATTTTGGACCATAGCACCCCTTTCTCAACATACACATCCTTTTCTATCCAACATCCATATGAGTAAGAGGTATGATCAGAGTTCATGGGGTCTGAACTGGCAGTGACTGACAAGGAACACTCTGTTAGCAGATAATGCACAGCCAAAGTCGCACTCAGGAGAGCATTATTTACAAGTTTTATTCAGCGTTGATCAGAACAAAGAAAAACATGACTGCCTGCTTCAGTGTCTCCAGACACAGAGAGCGAAAACGAAAGACACAACAGAAACATCCTGTGAAACAGGAAATACGCAGACTCTGACTCACAAAGCCTGCTCCCTTTTAAGGTGGAACGGAAATATCCTAACAATGACTTCACAATCAGGAGCCAGTGATCATGATGTTCTACCCTTCAAGATGAAGATGTTGTTCATATAAAAAGTCTGAATGACCACTGAACCTCTCTTATGTTATTTTTCAAAAAGTTTGAGGAAGAAAAATATGAAGGGAAGCATTTGTGACCTGAATGAGTATTCAAGCTAATGCAGGTTTTAGATTTGTACATTGTCTGAAGAAAGGATCACTTTAAGCTTCAAGTGTGAAAACAAATTTGACTGGTCCAGGGGTTCTTTACTTTTTACCTTTACCTACATTGTTTATGGGCTGTGTGTTACTGATCCAAAACCTCACCTCCACCCCAAATCCCACCTTGTTATCATCAGATGGACTATTTTAGTGCCCAACCAACTATGCATGTAAGGATTTAACCGATAAATCTGCAGATTATTAGTAAGTCAAGATATAAGTGGAGCACCCAGCTGATTTAACAGGGACAGTAGCAGAATCAAGAGCCAAATCCTATGTAGCATAAGGATCTCAGAAGATGTGCACATCATTTGCTCCTAGCAGCATTGAGGAGAAAGAAGGGATACGCTGAATGGAATAAAAGTTAAGAGACGTTCAGGATCTAGATGCTCGTGGCTGTTTTAGATGATCTTAGAAAAAGAAGAGTGTTAAAGAGATCAGAATCCCTCAGATTGTAGAGAATATTTAGAAAGACCTTTGGAATCTTGGTTAAGGTAAGAGTCATAACCAGGACAGATGAATCTGTCAGTTTCAGCTTGTCTCTGCTCCTCATGCTTCCAATTTTAAATTTAGTTCACTGCATTTTTTCATCAGCAATTTTTTAATAAGTGGCTTGCAAATTTGTATACCTTTTTTGTGCACGTTCCTCCTCATGCACTGCATACTCTCTAACATTTCTCTGATGAAAATACAGACGTCCTATTCAATTATTATTATTGTTGTTGTTGTTGTTGTTATTTTATTATTATTATTATTTTATACACCAGCCATTAAACATTAAAAAACATCCCTATACAGATGTATTCTAAAGGTTGTATAGTTACTTATTCCTTGGCTCAGGAGTCACAATATTTCTCCAGTGAAAAGAGGGACATCGTAAGGAAAAGTGGGACATTCTGGTATCAAATAAAAAACTGGGACAGCTTCTGTAAATCTGGGACTGTCCCTGGAAAATAGGGACACTTGGAGGGTCTGGCATTGCTTTGGTGTGCAACTAAACACAATATAATGCTTTTTACAAGAAATGTTCCATAATACAATGTATTTTTGTGCATCACTTTCATGAGCTTGTCTGGTTTTGTGTGCAGTTTCCCATAATATAACATTCTTGTTAGCATTTTTCTGCTTGGTGAACTGCAAAGGCCCCAGGTTCAATTCCGGCATCTCCAGATAGGGCCTTGGCCTCTAGCTTAAATACTGAGAGAAGGAGGATGCAGCTGAGACTAGGAGCTGTTATGCCAAAGGCTCAGAAATCATACTGAATTCCTAATAAAGACTCTAAATCTACTGGCCATAAGCCCAAAGAAACTAAGCCAGGTTCTTCATTGATGCTTTCCCCCAAGCCGAGTTCACCCGAAAATCAACTTTCTCCTACTCTGCTGCATCTACCCAAAGAAGAGAGACCACAGAACAGAAGAAAAGCAGGACAGGAGGTTGGCTATTTAAAGCCACACTGCTCAGGTAGGTGTGTGGGGGGTGTAGAGGGGGCAGCGGAGCTTAGGAGGGACAGATTAGATGGAAATATTTAAAGTCTCCATCTACCTATAGCCTTCGTCAGAGTGAATTTTGCACTCTGTGCTGCAGCCACTGGCCTGCTTTGCTGGTGGTTCAGCAGACCTGAGGGAAAATAAATGCCAATAAGCAGCATAGTTCAACTTGGAGCTTGAGTTTTTCAAGCAGAGCTCTTTAGAATTCTTCAGCCTTAGGAAAACCTGAGATCTACATTGTGCTTTCATAACATCTTCCTTGCCCCAGGAATAAAATGCGGGGCTCATAAATCGATGCCTGAGACTAATGATTGCAGTGCTAAAGAAAGGGAACTACCTGCAAAGACACCAATGTGTCATCTTTTATTGCCAATATAAAGTTATATGAATTCTTATTTTATTTTATTTGTTGTAGCTGAGGCTTTTTATCTGACACCAGAGAAGCCTTGTTGGGAGAAGCTGAAAAATAAAATATGGATGTAGTTTAAAACTTGCAAGCTTGGTTTTTTCCTCCCCTTATTGGGTGCTTGAATAAAAATGGCTCAGTTAAAAACTGAAGTAAAGCAGATGCTTTCCGGATGAAATGTTACTACAGTGGTACCTCTGGTTACGTACTTAATTCGTTCCGGAGGTCCGTTCTTAACCTGAAACTGTTCTTAACCTGAGGTACCACTTTAGTTAATGGGGCTCCCGCTGCCGCCGCACGATTTCTGTTCTCATCCTGAAGCAAAGTTCTTAACCCGAGGTACTATTTCTTGGTTAGCGGAGTCTGTAACCTGAAGCGTATGTAACCCGAGGTACCACTGTATTGGTTCTATAAACCTGAGGGCGGCCTGATCTTTTTGCTAAACTAATAGATGTTTTGGATATGGGTTTCCAGAAAGTTACTAGAAGCTGGTGAGCCAAATATTGATATAGAATTCAATTTCTACTGGGTGGTACAGTGGTACCTCGGGTTAAGTACTTAATTCGTTCCGGAGGTCCGTTCTTAACCTGAAACTGTTCTTAACCTGAAGCACCACTTTAGCTAATGGGGCCTTCTGCTGCCGCCGCACTGCCAGAGCCCGATTTCTGTTCTTATCCTGAAGCAAAGTTCTTAACCTGAAGCACTATTTCTGGCTTAGTGGAGTGTGTAATCTGAAGCGTATGTAACCTGAAGCGTATGTAGCCTGAGGTACCACTGTATAGGTTTAGGATAGATAGGTTTCCCATGGTTGTGCCCACAATGAACTATCTAAGAAGGGTCTGCTGGATCAGACCAATGGTTTATCTAGTCTTCTCTCTGGGGCCAACCAGATGCCTGCGGAAAACCAGCAAGCAGAACCCGAGCACGGGAGCACTCTCTCCTCCTGTGGTTTCCAGCAGTTGGTATTCAGCAGCATTAATAATATGGGAGGAAGGAGAGAGGGCCACAGCTCAGTGGTAGAGCACCTGCTCTTCATGCAAAAGGTCCCACATTCAATCCCTGGTATATCCAAGGCAGGGCAGAGTGGGGGGAAATCTCTGCCTGAAATTCCTGGACAGCTGCTGCCAGTCAGCGTTAAGAGCACTGAACTAGATAGAACCAATGGTCTGCCTAAGCATAAGGCAGCTTCCTTTGTTTCATGCTGAATTATCAGTAAGAAAGTAGAAGGAATTAATCAGAAACAACCAGATGTCCATGATAATGGCAGCTGAGCATCAAACAAAATGCAACCCGGGGATCTGAGGTGGGGATGGGAATAAAATCTGCACTGATAGATCCTAAAAATGCAAACAAGAACTAAACAAGAGAGACTAGAAACAATGCATTTCCACTGTTTGCCACGAAGATTTTAAATGCAAAGCTTTTAGTTATTTATTTTCATCTATCCATCCATTCATTCAATAAATATACCGCCCTTCATCCAAAGATCACAGGATGGCTTACAGTATAAAAAGCTATACTGTAGACTGCACAATACAGCAACGCTGTTTTCTATAACATTTTAATTAGTTTCTTGGATAAGGTGGATGTACTGTAGATTCCTTCCGTGCCCCCCCCCCAGTACTACCATCACGTCCCGAGTACAAAATAATTCCAGCTAAAAGCTTATATTCATTTTTCATATGGTCTAGTGCTCATCTGAAGACTGCAAAAACAAAAACAAGCCATGCTTCGCCTGCCTGTCCCCTTAATATTCTTCTGTGGGCCCTTTCTCCAGTTTTCAGAGAATGACTGGAAGTGGGGAGGCAGAAAAAGGTCCTCCTTTCCTTCCACTCTGCAGACAAGCTCTAGATTTTCCCTACACCCCTTTTCCTTCATATTACATATTGTGTATCATTTCTGGCACCACCTTAACTGCAGAGAATGCAAACAGCAGCAGCCCACCCAGCAGTCAGGCAGCAGCAGATCTGGGCCACATCCACAGCATACATTTAAAGCACTATTATGCCACTTTAAGCAGTCATGGCTTCCCATCCCAGCAGACTTAACAAACTACAGCTCCCAGAACTCTTTGATCCTGGGAGCAGTAGTTTAAGTGTGTTGAGAGCTAATAAGAGTCTTATAACTCTTCTAATAACTCTTCTCTCACAGTGACAATTCTCAAGAATTCCCTCTTCTCAGGGAATTGTAGCTGTGTGAGGGGGTTCCTAACAATTCTCAGCACCCATAAAAAATTACAGTTCCCAGAAGCCATGCCTGCTTAACGTGGCATCATAGCACTTTAAAATATTTTGTGTCGATGTGGTCTTGGTTTGGGGTTTGATTTTCTTTTGGGATTTTCCCAGGATTGGGAAATTGAGCGATTGAGATTGCTCAAAAAGGGGAGGAGGTTGGGATGAGTTCTAGTTGAGGGTAATGTCATATGAACGATGCCCAGAAATCTTGGATTCAGCTTCAGACTCACAGTCAAACCCAGTAAGGACCAGCTTTCTGTTCTACACATATCAAGTGCCACACCCGAGAAAGCCCTTTAAAATGACTTTTCATTTTTCCTAGATAAGTGCCATTTAACCACAAATAGTTCCCCATTTTTGAGCTAGCACAGTCCCCAGATGAGGACTATTCTACAAAAATGGATCACATCACAATATTCTTTTTGCCCTTTGTGGGCTTCCCCTGAGGAACAAGTCTAGGGACAAATACTGGAAGCAGCAGCAAAATGCAAAACCACATTTTTCTAGCAGTGGAAGCAGAAGGATGTGGGGATTCTTGAGGACAAGGCATCAGATGAAAGATATTGATGGTGCGACTGAGCATTCAGCCAAAATGGAAAGTTTTAATATCTCTCTCATACACACACCCCCGATCATTTTTGTTTGTTTGTGATTTTTCAGGGGGAATAGAAATGGAACAAATGTGTTCTATGGAAGCCGCCCAGAGTGGCTGGGGAAACCCAGCCAGATGGGCGGGGTACACATAAATTATTATTATTATTATTATTATTATTATTATTATTATTATCTATTGGTGCAAGGCAGGTATCCGAGAGAAGAGAGAGCAAGTCTATACTGTCATGATAAGAGGGGTGTATTCCTCCTCACTCCAGCCACAGGAAGGGAGATGACAGTTGTTTGTGCTCACTGGCATCACCACAGAGCCAATCAAGTTTTGAAACATCACACTGTCACCAAGGTCAACCCTATCGTTACCCTGACTTTGAAGAGGGGAGATATGAGACTGTTGTTTAGTGAACCAGGCAAACACTCTGTTTTGCACTGCTGTCTATCAGACCACCTGCCAAGAGAAGACAAACAGACAGGGGGTGTCAGTCCAGTTGTCTTTGCAATGGAGAAATGTTCCATCCCCAGTGCTGGGCCAAGACATTTTGCTGGCTGAAGGAGAGCCCAAACAGACTTCTCCCTGCCCACGTGGTGCCACCCTATGGCTAGTGCTTTAAGAAGCCTTTCTGCATGATTCAGAAACCAAATCCTTGTCTTCATCAATCACTTCCAATTGTGCTACCTGAAGCAAGTCACTTGGCTCATGATGGGGTCACATTGGGAAGAGAACCTTTTATAAATGCATCCAAGGAGGGAGGGAAAACATAGCGCCTCTGAAAAACCACGAATAAACATGAAAGAAACCCTTTTTTCGCCCTGAAAAAGTTCACTTGCAAAATCTGGCACAGTTTGAGGACTACCATAGTAAGGGCAACAAGTCTAATTAAAAATATTATAATGCAAGTCAATGACAGACTTTCCTCCTTCCTTATCATATTTGCAAGGATATGCAATTTAAAAAATAATAATGAAACAGTAATTAATAATGATAATAATAACCATGCACTTACCAGTCTTGAGCAGAGTAGGGCTGTCTTCCTGGAGGCAGATGAGCAATAGTAGGAGCAGAAGTGGCTTCCTTCTGTCTGGGTCTAACCAGTGTTCACACACTAGAGAATGCTTTTCTTCAAAACTTCCAACTATATATTATTATTATTATTATTCAGTGGTAAGGATTGCTCTGTTTTACCTGTGAGGCTTATCACATGACTGTGCTGATCCAAGAGCATACTGAATGAATCAGGGAGATGGTGGCAGATGAACTATGCCTATACAGGAGACTGGGCACATTTAAGTCAAGTCAAGTGTGTTTATTTTGAGCACTGTGGAGTTCAAACCAGCAGCACCCATTAGGCAAGGACCTCTGTCTCTATCAGGACTGCTGGCTGGAAGAGAGAACTGCATACAGTTCAAGCTACACGCACACAACAGCACAGAATCCTTATGGCTCAGGAAATCGGATGACACCACAGGGCTCATCACACCCCATTGTCCCATATAAAGTTCCCAAAGACCTTTAGTCTGGATTCACTTGTCTGCCATTGAGCATTGGTGGCAATGAACTTGTAAAGAGTCTCAAAGTATCTATTGTGGAAGTCAAGGAATAACAAGTGTTTTTAAAATCTGAAACTTCTTTACTTTGGACTTTTGCTGCTTTTTTGGTAACCATCAAGTCTAAATGGACTCCCAGGGACTTAGGTGTAGTGACATTTACAGAGGGTTGCAATTTAGAAATCTACAGTGAGGCTATGTTGGATAGCTGAAATGGTGGGATTCCTATGGCGTGTGGCTTTTTTCATCCCATTGTGTTGAATGCTAAGAACCCTGGGATAGTTAGACTTAGGATGTTTCTCAGAGATACAGATATTAGAAATTGTCCTCATATCTTTAAACAGGGGAATGGGCCTGGCTTGCCTGCATTATTATTATATTTGTGGGGTACATTTTTTCATTAATCTGCATGTGACCACACCAAACCAGAGATTTCACACAGTATACACTGAAAAGGGTGGTGCAAAGTAGTCATATTCAGTTTGCAATACACAAGATAAATTTCTACAACTGGAAATCTCAGGATGCAATACTTTGTGTGCATAATGGGCGTTAAGACCCACTGAAATCAGTGGGGATTGATCCCAAATACGCATGCATAGGATTGCGCTGCCATTGTTTTAAAAAGCACATCAAACCTGGAATAAAGAAAATCTCCCTTGTGCAATTTGCAAGCAACCCATTCAATATGACCTTGATGTATAAAAGCAATCCACACCCAGATGCAGGGGAGAACAAGCCAGACCAAACCATGTCAAGACCATCTCCCCTTTAGGGAGAAATGTTCCCTTAAACTGGACAAAAGTGCTAACTGATTTCTGGATACAAAAGAGAACTGTACAGAAATGTTTTGTGGTTAAGTAGAAACAAGGAACAGTCACATTTTGAGAGCGGGGGAACCAGAGGAGATGCTTCCTGTAGGAACCCTGGGCAGTTCCTGCTGCCCCCTGCAGAAGAGATCCAGTTTTCTATACAGTGTTAAATGTGAATTCTTTCCACCATCCCTGACCACGCTAGAGAGAAAGGAGCAAAAAGGAGACGAACCCTGAAACAAAATAAGTTTAAAATCCATGGTGGTAGAAAGGTATGACAGCTGGCTCAATGAACTGATTTTGATGTCAAGATGAATGACAAGCTGCTCGTTGCTAGCAGGCGTTCAGAGCAGCGAGGGTCATGTAGGAAGCAAGGCATGCCTATTCCACAGCAGTCATATATAATGGTTGACAGGAGCAACAATGTTCTTGGCCTGATGGTTAGTGGAAGGCAACCACTTCTTTAACCGGTTCACAAAGTAAGCTTTTCAACGTATGACCTGTTAACTTGCCACTCACTAAAGCAAAGGGCCATAAGGAACTCTTAGAAAGAACTGATCTTAGAGGGATGGGTCTTATGGGAAAGCCGGAAGCATTATATAGACATATAATGTATAGATGTGCAGTACAGCTGCACACTAGAAAAGTAACTTGGAATTAGGGTCTCTGTGCCATATGGCATGTGATCCCGACTTTCCAGATAAACTCCTAAAGAATATGGAAAACAAGCACTATTCAAATGAATAATAGAAAAGCCGCCACTGAACTCAGCGGGGCTTAGATTGTGTTGATACAGTCTTTGCTGTGAATTTGATGATAGCATCATCGGCATTTCAGTGGCTTATGGAGCCTGGGGCTGTGCAAACTT